AAACACTAAATTTTTCTCCCCATTTTTCCCTTTTTGTTTTTCCTCTACTCAGTATGTGAGATTTTCTTAACATTTTGCTGAAAGAATATAAGTTTTAAAAGTTGTGGACTTTAATCCTGAAGGTGCCTGTAGATTACTTCAATTCACTTACCTATGAAGCGCTTTAAAATTCCTAGGAAAACATTCTTTATTTTCATAAGTCATGACACAAAATATTGAAGCAGATCTCATTTAAAAACTACAAAAATTTTCAGCAAAAACATTGTTCCCCTTTAGTTCCCACCAGGGCTTACATGAAATCTTATGTAAGATTTTATTTTACCCCCTTTTTTTTACCTTTTACCTTTTTACCCCTTTTAAAATTTTACCCCTTTTAAAAATTTACCTTTTACCCCTTTGCCAAGGACATACACATTCAGACTTTTGAGTTTGGTTTATTATAATCCATGGACTAGAGGAGAGATGGTCTCTTAAAGAACATTGTTGGCTTCCCTTGTTAAGAGAGTAGAAGTCTTGAGAGAGGCAAGAGGTCTATTAAATGCTGCCAAGTAAGTTTCGAGGAGAGAGACTTGAAGGACACAGAATCAAGATTGGGAGGCAATTGGTGAGGCCCAGCAGTGAGCTTCTATACACTTGCAACCAGAGATCTGCACTGCCACCACCACTTCAACCTGTCTTCTATGGTGTGCTCACTTGAGCATCATGAGGCTAAGAAGAGACTCATGTCTGCGGCTGTTCAGCAAAGTGATTTGGGAATATTTCCTTCTGACAGAACTGATATTAGGTAGTGATCTGCCAGTTACTCACCATCCTGCCTTTTTCTTTTCCTGTCCAAGATAGCTTTATGTTGAATCCAAAGTTTATTCTTAATATTATTCTTTAATGTAAGCAATTGCTTATTCTTTAACATTACTGTGCATTTCTGTTGTACTACTACTAAATGTCTGTATATTCAGCCCTGCTCTTTCTCCTGAGGTCCAGTTTTGCATCACCAGTTTCCTCATGAACCTCTTAAATTAGATGTTCCATGATACAGTTGGACCCATATCCCATTTTTCAATGTGCATTAGGCTAGTTTTTTGAGACCTTCCCAAAGACTTGGTTCAGGACAATAAAGGCTCAGACTATTGATAGCATATTCTCATCACCTGACTGCAAAGTAGTCATGAGGAGTTCCAGGGGCACTTGGAACCTTGACTGGGGCAAAGTAGGCAAGAATCTTTGAATCAACTCTAGGTGCCCTCAATGCTTATCCTTATAGAGTATCCTTTTCCCATTATGGCAAAGTAAATATCTTCTTTCTAACTGTTGAATGACTTATGACTATCTCATTTTGTTCCAAAATCAAAACTAAACTACAGCCCTGAACACATAGGCATCTGAACCTCAACATGTTCAAAAAATAAGATTGTTCTCAAATATGTCCCTCTTCCCAATATACATATCATTACATCTGAAGACACAAGTAACCCCCCAGTTACAAAGGCTCACAACTCCATTATAATTCTTGACTCTTCACCCATACTCACCCCTCATGTCCAATCTGTTGTTTTTCAGTTTTACCTCTTTTGTCCCCTGCTTTCCACTCAAAATAGCTGCTTTCCTGGAGTAGTCCCTCATCACTTTACACATGCTGTTACCCACAGAAACAAATATACAATTATACGTCTGTCATGTGAAGCCATTTACAATCTAATTTCATCCAACTTTTCCAGTCTTTTTACAATTTATTCCCCTCCTCACACTTGCCTATATATTGTTCCTCTACCCTTCATCACCTGGCTTCATAGGCTTTCGCTGGATATCCCTTATGCTAGTATCATTCTCTCTTTACACATCTGCCTCCTGGCTTCTGGCTTCCTTCTGGCGTCTAGTTTTCATTAGGATTCAGCTCAGATCCTACCTTATGCAGGAGGGCTTTCTGTCTCTCTTATTTGATATTGCCTTCCCTCTGAAATTAGCTTTCACTTACACTGTATCTTGTGTGCATGTAGTTGTTTACATGTAATATTATACAATAAAATGTGAACTACTTTAGGACCTTTCTTTTGCCTTTTTTTGTATCCCTAGTACATAGCACATTGTCTGACACATATTAAACTCTTAATGAATATTTGTTGACTAGTAGAATGAGTGCTGACATGAGAAAAGTATGATTGACATGATTAGTATGTGTTTCAAACCTTAGAATGAGAAAGACAGGATAGTGAAGTCATATGTAGTATATCAAGAAGTAGATGGAGTCTGCCAAAAGTGATGGCATCATACTAGCTTGATTCTCTTTGAGATAAATGAAAGAACATTTTACTGATTTTTTTAAAAAAAAAATTTCATGTCTACCTGTAGAAAGCAGAGAAAAAAAATATCAAATTATATAAATTCCCTGGGCACAGTTGACCTAAAACCATAGTGTTGGGCTGATTCTTGGTGAAAAAGAAACTAGACACCCTTCCCTTAGACTGTAGGTTCCAATAATTTTACCTTCTTATTGTTTCCTTCCACCTGGTTCAAAAGCCCCCTTGTACCCTTGAAAGAGAGCTGGGAAGGAGTGGCTCTGTCCACACAAAGGTAGATCTTATCCAACAGAGAGTAGCTAGTTTTTACACATTTTTTTTACTACATACCTTTAACTCCCACACACTGTATGACATATTCTGAATGAAGATACAGATGGAAGAAAACTCAGTAGACATTTAGTTGAGATGGTTTTTTTTTTCTTCAAAAGCAAATATAAACTGTAGAAACTCCCCACAATTACTAATAGAGTTAACTCTCCAGAAGGTGAAGTGATTAACCTGCATCAATCTGAAATTTAAAACCTATATTGTAAGTCATCTATCTATTTTGGTTTCATGGATGTGCGTCAAAGTTCAGGGAGATTAACAAATTCAATTTGGAAAAATTATGTTTGATATCTTATATACACTATAAAAATGTTGCATTAATTAGTCAAGTACTCAAGCTTAACTCCTTTTTCATAAGAAAAAAATGTGACTTCTTTAAAAATTAAAAAAAATTATTAGCTCTTGTTTACCCTTGGATAGATATCAATAGCTTTTTACTAGGTTCCTTGTAAAATAAAGGCATGAGTGTCAGATGTATCCCATGTTTCATTTTATTGTAACACAACATTATTTAAAAAAAAAACAACAACAACATATCAATGGCAAGATAAAATTAAAACTTGGGGCTCTTTATTGGATATGTAATAAGTTAAACTCAAATATTAAATGTATTCCAACCCATAGATTCATTTAAATTTTGGATCAAATTTTTTCTCTTAGAATCTGATCATTTTCTTTCATTGCAATCTGTATTGCTGGTGTCCTATGTTATCCCTGCCTAAGTCTTCTAAAACTTTTTTGTTGTCGTAACAAATATTCCAAAATGAACTAATGACTTCCTTATGTTAATACTGAGTAGATTCTCTTTTGTAAAACTAAGAGACTAAAATGATCCTTATAGTATTTGGGTTAATTCATTTTATAGATTTTCCTTTAATCATTTTCTTTGAACATTTGTAGGCAGCTTTGGTGACACAACTAGCTTGTGATTTATGGTCTGTTGAGAGATATATTTTCTAAGAATAGTATTTTACAATCTATCTATTTTAAGATATATCATTATGTATTCATTTAGTTTTTTTTTAATGTAGTTTTCCGGAAGGAGGAATTCAGATTATGTTTTACAATTTGGTCTGATTAGATGTTCAGTTTTCTCATACTGTTAATTTTGCTCTGTTGGAGGGTCACGGAATTATAATTAAAAATCATATACATATTGCTAGGTCTTAACGAATGCTTTAATCATCTTGACATAAAAAATTATTCTTGATACATTTGGTTGAGAGAGGGGAGGGAACTGGAGATAAATTTGAGTAGGAGACAGTATACACATAAATGGACAGCAATATATTCAATAATTTGGTTACATTGCTCAAGGTTATAAAATGATAAAGAAGAATTATGACCTAGAAACTATATATCAAAAGGATTTAGGAGTAACAGTTAATTATAAGCTCTCAACTATTCCTTGCATGGAAAGTAAATACATGTGGTATTCTTTGTCACTTGATGATCATTCATTTCTGTCATATTAATTTTATGGATGATAGATCTTAAAGATTCATGACCTATACACATATAATACAGTCCATACACTACTTTTATATTCCCTACTATGTTAGATTTGACAATTATCACTCAGTCAATCAATAAGCATTTATTAAATCCATAATTTGTGCTACTGGGGATACAAGTAAAAAGAATGAAATAATCTCTTTTCAAAAGGAGTTTGCCTTCTATCAGAGAAGGTATCATGAACACATATAAGTATCAATAGAATACATACAAAGAATAGAAAATTAGTACAAAATAGGTAGAGAAGAGAGCACTAGCAGTCTGAAAGATCAGGAAGCACTTCTTGTAGAAGGTACTGCTTCTATTGCATCTTGAAAGAAAGAGATTCTATGAAGTGAAGGTAAGGAGGGAGAATGTTCCACGCAAGGTGGCCAACTAGTGAAAAATCGAGGCAGCAGAAATGGAGCATTGTATGTGAGGAATATGAGGAAGGCCAGGTTGGTTAGTTCATGGAGTGTGGGAAGAAGAATAATGGCAACAGAGTCTTGACAGATAGGTTGGAGCTAGGTTTGGAAGGTCTTTAAAAGCTAAATAAAATAGTTTATATTTGATCCTAGAAGCAAATATAGAGCCACTGTATTTAGTGAGTAGGTCATATATAAGTATTATTTATTTGGTATGATATAATATGTCACAATTCTAAAACTGCATGCTACATTTTTTTAATGCATAAACCAAACAACAGTATGGAAATTCTTAACAAAGAAAGATACAAGGATTTTGTAAAATCGAAATAATGTATTCATTCATCTAAGATTATTCTTGTTTTTCAAATTGGAAAAAAAATAGAATTTTCTGAACATTGTTTTATCCGGTATATTGGTTTAAGTCCTATTAGTTATGCATTGATGTTTCTTACAGGAAAGTCCGTCAGATTATCCCTTTAGTTAATTCTACACGTGAAACCCTGGAATTGACAATTACCAACAATAATCCTGTTAATTTTTTTTTGGATCCAAACAAAAAAGCAATAGTAAGTATATTTGGAAAACAATAAAAACTATCTTTGTTACAGCTTCTAGCAGAACACATAAAATCCAGAACAAAATAGTATTAATCATTGTTTTGTGCTCACCGAATTTGCTTCAATTGGGATAAAAAAGTCACCAAATCATCAAAAAAAAAAAACAAAGAACAAAAAACAAAAAACAAAAAACAAAACAAAACAAAACTTAGTAAGAAATCACAATGTAGTGGGAAAAAATATTACACTAGGAACCAGAAGACCTTGATTCTCATTCCTTTTTTGTTTGTTTTGTCTTTCTTTGTTTTTTTTTGATGAGGCAATGTAGATTAGTTAAGTGACTTGCCCAGGGTCACACAGCCAGTAAATATCAAATGTCTGAGGTCAGGTTTGAACTCAGGTCCTCCTGTCTCCAAGGCCGGAGCTCTATCCACTGTGCCACCTAGCTGCCTGTTCTCATTCCTTTTTTATTGCTAACTAGCTATGTGAATCCTTCACTCTGAGCCTCATTATCCTCATTTATAAAATGAAGTGATTGGAGTAGTCCATAAGGTTACTCCCAACTCTAAAATAATAGGATTTTAGATTTGACTAATTCCAAATAAAATGATCACAGAGCTAGACCTAGAAGCAACTCCTGAGGTCATCTAGCCCAACTCCTCATTTTACAGATGAGGAAACTGGAGCCAGGAGAGGTTGCATGATTGGCTCAAAGTCACACAGATAATGATTGAAGCAGGATTTGAACCCATATACTTAGACTCCAAACCCAGGGGTCCTCCCACTGTCATATATTGCCTCTCACAGAGATGTGTTAGCAAGGCCAGACTATTTCTTTTTAAAGGTAAATTGAGTGAAAAATTAATTTTCTATTAAGCACCTTCTTTGGCTGTAAGTCACCACTCTGTGAGAGGTATACAAAAGTGAAAGACAATACATGTCCCTATCCTCATGATGCTTAAAATCTTGTTGGAAGAGCAGTGGCATGAAAGGTCTGTGGAGGATGTGAATCATTTCTAAATGGGGGAAGTGGCAAGGGTCAGGGAAAACTTCAAAACAGAGATAACACCTGAGTTCAGCTTATAGGAAGAGAAAGATTTTAACAAGCAAAGATACGAAAGAGTAAATTCTATGTAGAGGGATAGAGATAGTATGTGTGAGTGCATCAGACTAATAATTTTCAGTAGTATCACTTTAATAACTTATTTTATATTTGTTGCGGGAGTTGAGGAAAACCCTAATATATATTATTTGGAATCCTTGTGTCTGAGGCTTGCTTCTGATGTAAAGGATCTGGCTATATTGTGGGGACTTCTGAGTCATCTATTGCCTTTGGAACATTAATATTAAGGAATTTCCTCATGGATCATATAACTTCCCTCACAAATACTCAGGTTCACCCATACCAAAATATAGAACAATTTTATTTAGATCTTGGAAATTCTTATTATAAAGAATTACTTCTGAAACAAGATGCTTTTCCTGCCGTGGACAGTTTCTATACTTTCACCTCAACCCTGCCAATGACAAGGACAATTTTATCATGACCTAATTGGGATTTCACAATAAGAGTGGAGGACAAGGTTGTTCTCCATTGCTCCTCCTTTCTGGAGCCCCTCTATTTGAGTCACATACCCCTTTCTCTAGCAACTGTCATAGGCTATCTTCACCTCCCTCCACTAACCTGCCTTTTATATGTCAGCTCCTGCCACTTCTATATCTCTGACTCCTATAGCTGAGCTACCAGCACTCTGGTTCCTCACAGTTTTGCCTCCTATGTTTCGTTTCCTGGAACTGCTATAGATACTTTTCTGGCTTCCGCACTTGGACCTTTTTCTGACAGATGACAGATATCACACTCTCCCAGAGGAATAGCAGCTAATCCAAATAGAGAGATTACCCTGGAGCTCAAAAATCAACTTGTCCCCACAGCCCTTTCTCTCTAACCCTGAATTTCTTACAGGTTGCTTTGATTCTGTGAGAATACTCCCTTCTTCTATGGCTTGAATGACTCTTTTCCTTTTATAGCTAGTTTAGGATAAGTCAGGCCCATTTACCCCCTCCCCTCACCTCCAGCTCACTGGATAGTATGACTCCTACTGAGGTTTAGGATTAGCAAGGACACCTTCTCCCAGCTCCCTTGTGTTTGTTCCAGGCCTTCTCCAAGTCAGCTAGACCAGGCTATTCACACCACACTGGAATTGATTGCTGTGTGATCTTCAAAAGAGGTGGAGATGTAATCTATTACTCCCCACTTCTAGGTTGTAACCTAAAGGAAAATGAGCTCTCTTAGTCTTCAATCTATTGTGAAAATGTGCCTTTTTTTCTTGGAATTAATTAATTTTGAATTCTCTGTGCTTACAACATAGAATAATGTTGTGACAAGTAATATGAAATGAACAAAATTAAAAGTAAAAGTAATATTCATTTAATTAAGGTTGTTAAGTCAGCTTATGAACCTAAGCTTATCTTCTTTTTATATAGTCCATAACACCCTGCTGTTATTTTCTGGAGAGTAAACATGCTGTGACTACCACTAAATGTTGTTTACTGCAGTATACTTTATCAATCTTAGCAGACCAAACATACTGAGAGTGTAGAATAGGAGTAGTCGAAAACATTAATCATATAAACATCACCAGTATCAACACTATCAGTACAAGGGATGTATTGACTCACACACACACACACACACACATACACACAAATGCCTCAAACCAAAGTATTGATTTTATTTTTTTTCCTTTTGCTTTTTCTGTGTTTTCAAAGCTGATTGTACCTCCTTATTCCACTACTGAAGTACCTGTGCATTTTTATCCTTCTGCCCTTGGAAGAGGGAAACAGCAAGCTTCAATCATCTTCCACTGTAGACAGGTATAACTAAAATACCACAATTTAAAAGTAATGGAATGTTAATACATGACAGATGTTTCAAGCCATGGGGTTATTTCTAAACTAGTTTTCAGAGTCTAAAACCAGAGGCTTTAAAGTGCAAACAAGTGGCAAGATTTTTGATGGGTTTTTTTTCTCTCTTCAGTGTTACCATTCAACTTGTTTAACTTGACATCTAATATTGCGATGATAAATTGGTGAACGTATCATTATGAATGATTTAATCTACCATCTGTCCACCATTTCATCAGCATACTATCCCAGTATATCTGGAATCCTGGGACATTGAAACAATCTTCCTATCCACTGGAAAACTGAAATAACATTTTACTTTAGTTCAAATTTTCTTTGGCTTTAAATGATTCATACCTTGATTTTTTTTTTGGTTTGGTTTTGCTTCCCTCAGTTTTGGAAGGGTGAAAAACAGATGGAAATGTATCACCCTTATTTTGATCTACTTCAAGTAAATCAATAAAAAAACAAATTATTATTTATTGCAATCAAATAGCGGAAGCAATATTGTGATCTGGATGGATGCCATAACATCTTTGCATAGGTGGGGCATGACTATAATGTTTTCTTTCTAGAAATGTCACTTACTTTTTCTTCTCTTTTTGTTCTAATGGTCTGCCAGTGATCTAAGCAAAACATTAGGAGAATGAAGTTGGTTCTCAAAAACATTGTATGTCAAAATGAATACATGATTTAGACATAAAGGGTGATACCAGAAGCAAATTAGAAGAGCAAAGAATAGTCTCATCTGTCAGATCTATGGAGAAGGAAAGAATTCATGACCAAAGAAGAGATAGGGAGCATAACAAAGTGTAAAATATATAATTTGACTATAGTAAGTAAAAAAGCTTTTGCATGAACAAAACCAATGCAATCAAGATTAGAAGGAAAGCAGGAAACTGGGAAACAATCTTTACAGCAGATGTTCCTGATAAAGGCCTCATTTCTCAAATATACTAGAGAACAAAGTCAAATTTATAAGAATACAAGCCATTCCCCAACTGATAAATGGTCAAAGGTCAATTTTCAGATTAAAAAAAGAAACAAAGATATCTATAGTCATATGAAGCTGCACTCTAAATAACTTTTGATTAGAGAAATGCAAATTAAAATACTCTGAGATACCCTCTCACACCTATCAAATTGGCTAATATGATAAAAAAGGGTAATGATAAATATTGGAGAAGATCTGGGAAAATTGGAACACTAATACATTGTTGGTGGAGTTGTGAATTGATCTAACCACTCTGGAGAGAAATTTGGAACTACGCCCAAAGGGCTACAAAACTGTGCATACCCTTTGATCCAACAATATCACTACTAGGTCTGAATTGCAAAGAGATCATAATAAAGGGAAAAGGGCTTACATGTGCAAAAATATTTCTAGAAACCCTTTTTGTGGTGGCAAAGAGTTTTAGAAATTGAGGGGATGCCCACCAATTGGGAAATGGCTGAATGAGTTGTGGTATATGAATATAATAGAATAATATTGTGCTATAAGAAATGATGAGCAGGCAGATTAAAAAAACCTGGAAAGACTTGTATGAACTGATGTAAAGTGAAATGAACAGAATCAGGAAAACACTGTACGTAGTGTCAGCAATATTGTGTGATGATCAACTATGAATGAGAAAAATTTGGAACTCAAAATCTTGTAAAAATGAATGCTAAAAATTGTATTGACATATAATTGGGAAAATACTATTAAAATCATATATATGTATGTGTGTGTGTATATACATATATATACATATATATATACATATATATATACAGATATATATATATACATATATATATATGTATATATATATATATATATATGGAGGGAGAGGGAGAGGGAGAGGGAGAGAGAGAGTGAGTAAAAAGGAACTTTAAGCAGTCATCATGTCCAGTCATCTCATTTTACAAATGGGGTAACTCAAGCATAGAGAAATGAAGAGATTATCACAGGTGACTCAGACAAAAGTGGCAGAGCTGGAATTGGAACACAGGTCTTTTGACTCTAAATCCTGAGCCCCTTTCTCACTGTGCTCCATTGTCTTTCCAAAGGCTCTAACTATCCTCCAGTACCCTGGGTTTATGACCTCCTTGATGTGGCTATTCTGGCAATGAGGCAGCCACAATTTAGTCTTTCCTGCTCCTCTTTTGTGACTCTTATGATATCCTTCTATGAATTCACTGGAAGGGGTCCTTCTGCTTGACTGAAGACATCCTTTTAGTTCTCCTGCTATGTTCTCAATAATAATTCAAAAGCAGATTTTTTTGTTTTTTTATTTAAATAGTATTTTATTTTTCCCCAATTGCATATTATGACAAAATTTTAGCATTAATTTTTAATAAGATTTTGAGTTCCAAATTTTTCTCATTCATAGTTGCTAATGCTGTGTACAATGTTTTCCTGATTCTGCTCATTTCTCTTTGCACCAATTAGTACAAACCTTTCCAGGTTTTTCTGAAATCTGCCTGTTGATCATTTCATGTTGATCATGCATAATAGTATTCCATTGCATTCATATTCCACAGCTTGTTCAGCCATTCCCCAATTGGTAGACATCTCCTCAATTTCTAATAGTTTGCCACCACATAAAGGGCTTCTAGAAATATTTTTGCACATGGTCCTTTTCTCTTTTTTATGATCTCTTTGGGATACAGACCCAGGAGTGGTATTGCTGAATCAAAGGGTATGCACAGTTTTATAGCCCTTTGGGCATAGCTCCAAATTACTCTCCAGAGTGGTTGGATCACTTCATAACTCCACCAACAGTGCATTATTCTCCCAACTTTCCCACTTCCCCTCCAACATATCATTTTGTTTTTTATCATATTAGCCAATCTGATTTGTGTGAGGTAGTATTTCAGAGTTATAATTTGCATTTCTCTGATCAAAAGTTAATTAGAGCACTTTTTCATATGGATATAGAGATCTTTTATTTCTTCATCTGAAAACTGCCTGTTCATATCCTTTGACCATTTTTCATTTGGAGAATGGCTTGTTTCCTATATATTTGGGAAATGAGGCCTTTATCAGAGACATTTGCTATAAAGATTGTTTTCCAGCTTTTTGTTTTCCTTCTAATATTGGTTGCATTTGTTTTATTTGGGCAAAAGCCTTTCAATTTAATATGATCAAAATTATTTGTTCTACATTTAGTTTTTAAATAATATTTTATTTTCCCCAGTTACATGTCAAGAACATTTTTAGCATTCATTTTTTACAAGATTTTGAATTCCAAATTTTTCTCTCTCCATCCCCTCCCTTCTTCTGAAAATGGCAAACAATTCGATATAGTTTGCTATCATGTAAAATGTATTTCCATATTTTCACAGTTGTGAGAGAAGAAACATAAAAAAATCCATGAGAAAGAATAAAGCAAGTAAGAAAAATACGCTTCCATCTGCATTCAGAGTCCATCAGTTCTTTATCTAGACATGGATAGCATTTTTCTTTGTGAGTCATTTGTACTTGTCCTCGATGATTGTGTTGCTGAGAAGAGCTGAGTTATTCCTAGTTGATGGTCACATGATGTTACTGATGCTGTGTACAATGTTCTCCTAATCCTGCCCAGTTCACTTTGTATCATACTAGTTCATACTAGTCTTTCCAGGATTTTCTGAAATCATCCTGTTCATCATTTCTTATTGCACAATAGCATTCCATTACATTCATATACCAAAACTTGTTCAACTCTTCCCCAATTGTTGGGCATCCCCTCAATTTCCAATATTTTACCACCATGAAAAGGGCTGCATTTTTGCACAAGTAGGTCATTTTCCCTTTTTTTATGATCTCTTTGGGATACAGACCTAGTAACAGTATTGCTGAATGAAAGGGTAGGTACAGTTTTATAGCCCTTTGGGAATAGTTCCAAATATACTCTCCAGAATGGTTGAATCAGTTCACAACTCCAACAGCAGTGCATCAGTGTCCCAGTTTTCCCACATCCTCTCCAACATTTATCATTTTATTTTACTGTCAAAGCCCTTTACTTTTATAGCCCAAAGGGCTATGAAACTGTACATATGGATGGATCAGATGGATGAGATGGTATCTCAGAGTTATTTTAATTTGCATTTTTCTAATCAAAAGTTATTTAAAGAACTTCTTTATATGCCTATAGGTATCTTTGAGTTTTTTCGTTTGAAAACTGTATTCATAACTTTTGACCACTTTTCACTTGGAGAATGACTTGTATTCATAGAAATTTGAATCAGTTTTTTATATATATTTTTTCTTTTTTTGATTTTTTAAAAATTTATTTATTTTTAGTTTTTAACATTTACTTCAACAAGATTTTGAATTCCAAATTTTCACCCCATCTCGCCCTTCCCCCCACCCCAAGATGGCATGCATACTGAATATCCCTTCCTCTAGTCTGCCCTCCCTTCTATCTCTCCATCCCTTCTCTTATCCCCCTCCCCTTCTATTTTCCTATAGGGCAGGATAGATTTCTGTATCCCATTTCCTGTATTTCTTATTTCCCAGTTGCATGTGAAAACATTTTTTTAAACATGTGTTTTTAAAACTTTGGGTTCCAAATTTTTTCCCTTCCTCCCTCCCCACCCACCCTCATTGAAAGGGCAAGCAACTCAATATAGGTTGTACATGTGCAGTAATGCAAAACACTTCCATGGTAGTCATGTTGTGAAAAACTAACTCTATTTCCCTTAATCCTACCACCCTCCCCATTTGTTCTATTCTTTCTTTTGACCCTGTCCCTCCTCAGAAGTGTTTGCTTCTGATTAGTCCCTTTCCCAATCTGCCTCCTCTCTGTCATTCCCCTGCTCTCTTGTCCCCTTCTCCCCCTATTTTCCTATAGGGTAAGACAAATTTCCATACCTAATTGAATGTTTATGTTATTCCCCTCTTAAGCCAAATCCTATGAGAATAAGATTAACTCATTCCCTCTCACCTTCCCCAGTTTCTGCTCCACTGTAAGAGCCTTTCCTTTTCTGTTTTTTTTTGTGAG